GGGAGGGGGGGGGTGAATTAAGAGAAAAAGAGTTTATATACTGTAGATATATGAATTTTGTAGAATTAAAATCCTTATAACAGTAAGAGAGGAGATGGTATTTGGTAAAAAAAGATTGGGGGAGGAGGGGGTACTATGACATATGGCATTTTAAATAGGGGTTAAAAAAGATTCAAAATTTAAAAATAAGAAAATGAAAAAGGGTGAAAATTGCTCCAAAACTATACGAAATAGGACAATTAAAGGTAGGCAAAATAACTTCAGAACATTATAAAAAAAAATCAGTTAAAACTTTAACACAATTTGGCTTAAATTATATTTTAAAGCCATCTAACTTCACAGAAATACAGAACAAAACTTCAGCTCTAAGAATGCTGAAGTTCAACAAATACAGAACAAAACTTCAGCTCTAAGAATGCTGAAGTTCAACAAATACAGAACAAAACTTCAAATCTAAGAATGCTGAACTTTAACAAATACAGAACAAAACTTCAGCTCCAGGAATATATTTTAAAGCAATCTAACTTCACAGAAATACAGAACAAAACTTCAGCTCCAGGAATATATTTTAAAGCAATCTAACTTCACAGAAATATAGAACAAAACTTCAGCTCTAAGAATGCTGAAGTTCAGCAAATACAGAACAAAACTTCAGCTCTAAGAATGCTGAAGTTCAGCAAATACGAAATAAAACTTCAGCTCTAAGAATACTGAAGTTCAGCAATTACAGAACAAAAACTTCAGCCAAAATATGTTGTAGTTTTTACAAATACAAAACACAAATTCAACTCCAATAATGCTGAAGTTCATAAAAAACAAAACAAAAACTGCAGATAAAAACATACTTGACTTATACAAAACATAAAATAAAAATTCAGCTCCTAGAATTAAGTTATCCTTGAAGTATTATAAACTTCACACTTTAATAGCATCATCTATTTAAGTCTCAAAATTTTTAAAAATTTTAATGTCTCCAAAAATCACTGAAGAATATATAGAATTTTCATCAAAAACACAAACACAGTTTCAAAAAACCTAAAAACACTAATCGTAAAAGTAAAACCTACAAAACTAATGCACTGATCAAAGTAAATCCTAGGAAACTATTTTACCACAAATAAAAAAGGAAAATGATTCAACTAAGATTACTATCAAGAAAAAACCCATAATTTAAATCATAAAACTAGTCCTAAATTAAAACCCCATATAAAGTTAATGCAATGTACAAAAGAAACCATTAAAATCGTACATGTGATTATACTTAATGTTGTTGAGGAAGAAACAGTTGTAAAATCAAGAAGACTACAATGCCAAAAACCGTTTGATTTCAGAGAAGAACAAATCAAAACCGCGAAGAAGGAGACAGAGACAAGAGACAATATACCATATACTTGGAGAGAAAGTAGTCTTTTACTAAAGAAGGGCAAAATCATCTTTTTAAAATGCTTTTAACAAAAAAATAGGTACGGATGCAAACGAAAAAATAAAGCGGGTACAAGTTAAAAATGGGCGACCAAATAGGACGCCCCATGCAATTTGTACGGTATATAGTATATGTGAATTTATTTTTGGCCTGATTTGTTTATATTTAAACTTTATTTGTTAGGTAACTTGGAAAAACACTTTATATTACTTAATGTCATTATTGGAACACGAATAAGCATTATTTCTTGTATCTTCTTTTTTGGTTTGTTTTTCTTAAACTTATCATTTAATGTTTTTATAGTATGCATTATGATCATTCTTTGGATTATAACTCGATGGTTAAAGTTGAATTCTTGCAAATAAATTCTTCAGTATTTTGCTTATAATATTTTGCTTTCTTACAAATCAAAATAATCTGAGAGATGAATACTATTGATACTTCAATTCTTAATTATCTGCATATACTTAGGTGCCCATACCTCTTTCCAGGTTTGTTTCTTAAGTTAAAATGTTAATACTTCTAAGTTCATTTCTTTTTTCGCATGATGAACTGTATTTTTTAATAATACTATTATTTCAATCATCTTATCCATGAAATAATATGAATAGATAAAGATGAGAATGAAGATAGATAGAAAAATTTAGAGCAAACATAGTTACAAATGGATACCAAAAACCAAAAATAAGTAAACAAAAAATAAATTTAAAAGGGTAATGAAAAGTTCCCTAAAGAAAGTTTCTAAAAAAGTGTAAAAAATGAAACATGATATGCAAACGAATATTAAAATGCTTCTATTTTTTTGTCAAATGCTTCCAGAAAGTTGAACTTTCTTTCTTCGTTCTACTGTTATTTGGAGGAGGATGAAAATCTTAGTGCCAAGTTTTATATAGCACAAAGTGAGGTAATTACTTCGATGAGCAATTTTTTTGTTGAGATTTCATTTGTTTTAAACTTTAAACTTTTGATTTTCGAGTCGTTGTTCTACCGTTACGATGGTTGAAGAAACTGAAATCGAGCACAAAAACTTGATTACTCGCGCATGTATAATCATGCCATCACGAGACTGATCCAAATATACTAGAAGTAACGGAATCTCGAAGATTAAGCCATCCAAAGACATGCAAGAAAGGGCTTCTTCTTCTATTGAAAAGTTAAATAGAATCTACATTATCAACGAGGGTTGTGGTGGAGTGATAAATACCAGAGGTCTCGGGTTCGAGCCTTGAGTTTGGAGTTGCCTTTGTTAGGGAGTGCTTGATCCCCCAATGTGGGAGTTCCTGGCGCGAATCCGAATTTAGTCGGGCTCCAATGCGGGTACCGGACATTGGGTGGGAAACCAAAAAAAATAGAATCTACATTGTCGCTTTATAAAAGAATTACAATTTTTCCTTTGGTTATTCAGTTTATAAATCAAAAATATTTTTAAAAATATTACTCCCTCCGTTTCAATTTAGATGAGATAGTTTGACTCGACACGAAGTTTAAGAAAAAAGAAGAAGACTTTTGAAACTTGTGGTTTTAAATGCTTAAGGGGTAAAAGCTTTGTGGGGCTGACATTTGGGTGGTTATAATAGCTTCTCATTAAGGGTAAATGAGTAAAATAAAGAGTTTAAAGTTAAACTATTTCTAAATTTAAAAATATGTCATTTATTTTGGAACAGACTAAAAAGGAAAGTAGCTCATCTAATTTGAAACGGAGGGATTTCTATATATGAAATTGTTAAAAAAAATATTTTCATTGATAAGGGTACACGCTCGACGCGCATATCCAGAGACTAGTACTATACTAAAAGCACGAAAGACCTTAGCGAAATATCGTTCACCTTTTTTTACCCTTTTAAAATATAGTTCACACTAGACACAATAGTCATTTGATTATTCTCCTAGCTAATATTTAGGTGTTTGAATTAAATCAGATTTATTATTTTTAGCTCTTATTTGAATTAACTAAGGAGTCCTTATATTTAGGACTTTAAATTCATTAAAATTTTACCTAGAATACATATAAGAAAATACTAAATTAAAACACTTTGTTCCAAAGGCAATACCTTAATTTACTTTAATGCTTATTTCCGTCAACTAGATGAAAATGACTTTTTTGGTAAAAAAACAAATGCTAATTACAGAATTTTTTGACTTTAAGAAAAATAGGAATTAGCTTTGAAGCTAATAGGGTTATGTCGATGTTGACTCATTAAATGTGACTTAGTCTTTCCTAGCAAATGTCATACTTTAAATTGATGCCATTGCCTATTGAATGATGAATTTTTTCTTAATTTAGAACTATGTAGTGATTTTTGTCAAAGTACACTAAATTACATTCACATCCACGGTTATTTTCTTAGATCCGACATAGTGATTGATCAATGGAAATAAAATTATCTGCTTTTGAAGTCTTCTACATAACCGAACTTACTTTTGGAAGAAATTGTGGAAAGTATTAATTTCCCCATTCTCCAATCAATTTGGAAACATTTTTCCAGCCCTGGAGGATTTTTCAAACGGGCAGTTGAAGATTTAGAAAGAAATTCAGAACTTCTTTTGATGTAATTTTCTATGTAGCGAATAAGGAAAATCTAATTAATTTTCATAAAGATGACTGAGTAAACCAAGTCCACAACTTTAAGTTGAATATAGCTAATATAACTAGTTTTTCTTTACTAGGAAAAGAGAAAAATATTAAATATTTGTTACATACGATCCAATGTTGCCCACAGCTTAGTGCATCAGGATACCCCAAGTCATCGACCGCCGGAGAGAATGGAGTTTGTATCAGAACAAGGGTAAGAAAGTGACTTGTCAGCAGAGGATGGATATGACATTGCAAAATGATCAAACCCTGCTAAAGTTAAGCTTGTATTTGAAGTTTGCATCAGTGATAATTCTGGCAAAGGCAGATCATCTTCTAAATATAGCAACACTTGCCTCATACTTGGCCTAGCTGCTGGTTCTGTCTGAGAACAAACTAGTCCAAGTTTTAACACCAACTCAACCTCGTCTTTAACATAATCACCTCCCAAATTTTGATCAATGGCTTCAAGAATATCACTTCTAGTCCAACAAGAAAATACATAATCAACCAAAACAATGTCCTCGTCCGATACTCGTGGATCTATTGGCCTTCTCCCACAAGCCACTTCAAGCAAAAATGCACCAAAAGCATATACATCACTGCATGTTGTAGCCTTTCCAGTTCTAGTTTGTTCAGGGGCAAGATAACCTACTGTTCCAACTACATGTGTAGTGTGCGGATCGCTCCCATGATCATACAATCTTGCTAAGCCAAAATCTCCCAACTTTGCATTTAACTCACTGTCTAACAACACATTACTAGCCTTTACATCTCTGTGAATTACAACTTGTTCCCATTCTTCGTGCAGATAGACTAGCGCTGATGCTACGCCTTTAATGACACGAAATCTTTGGTTCCAGTTGAGAGCACATCTTGGTTTGTCATATAGAAACTTATCAAGACTTCCATTAGGCATACATTCATAAACCAAAAGCAACTCTCCTTTTCTCCTGCAATAGCCTAAAAGTGGTACTAAATTTCTATGGCGTAGTCGACCAATACTAACAATTTCTGCTACAAATTCCCTCAACCCTTGTTTTGATTCATGAGATACCTTCTTGACTGCTATCTCAAGTGCAGAATTAGGTAATATCCCTCTATAAACTCTGCCAAAACCCCCATAACCTAACAACTCTTTGTTTGCAAATCCTTTGGTTGCAATATAAAGATCTTTGTACTTGAACCTATGAGGGCCATATTCAAGCTCCCAATCTTCAAGCAATTCAGCAAACTTTCTTTTCCTTCCTACATAATAAATTAACACAGAGAAGGCTATTACTACTACAACTGCTGATATCAAAGGCAAAGCAATCAACAAGAGTTTGGATTGTTTCTTCGGTCCAACTCGAGGAAGCTTAGGAAGCCTAGAAAGATCAAGCCCTTGAGTTATTCCATTCATTCTGAAGCTCCATCCAAGAACATATTGTGTTGAAACAACTGAGCCAGTGGATCCAGAGAAGCCAATAAGCATGGTTTTATTTAAAATTGGTGAAAGATCATAGGATATAGACAAAAGAGGAACATTTGGTTTTGCCATATTCATTGGAGCCAATGTGACATTAATTTGCTTAGCCACACCATTATAGTCCACCCAAGCTTGCATTGGCTGGCCACTAGCTAGAGTCATGTTATTGAGTTTGACACTATTGCTAGCATAATAACCTGCTGTCTTTGAATCAACGGATTTTAATCCGTTGATGTCAATTCCAACATGGTTACCATCAATATCATTGAATTCTCTGTTTTGAAGGGTATCAATCTCCACCGCGAAAATATGGTTGGTGACTTTGCCAGTAGTGTTATCATTGAATAGGCCTAGAAATGGGCTTGGAAATGCATCTACTAACCCTCCTACAGGTGCAATTACAAAAGCCATGCCATGACCAGGCAAAACTGAAGGTACTATAGCAAAGACAAAAGTGGTAGAAAAAGAGAAATTTGAACCATTTGGTAAGTTCTTGAAATTTATTGGTGTAGGATAAAAAGCATGGCCCTTTTGCAGCCGAGAAGTATTTGTTAGCTGTAATAAGCCTTTTGATGTCAACTGTGCTATGCCATCAAGACTCAAGTTTGCTCTATTGAAGCTATTGTAAGTAAATCCAAGATCTTCAGAGGTTACAAGACCGAAAAGAGCAGCCATAATCAAGGCCAAGATCTTGAAAAACATGGCTAAAAATCTTTCAACAATTTCACAGAATTCAGATTCAACTATACTTAAGTACTTTTATAGAAGGTAAGTAGATGTGATGATTGAAATAATGGACACCCTTTATGCCAATTCATATGTTTTCTTCGTTGTGGTCCTAAATCTAAGTTAGAGTGACCCAACTTATTTTCTTGGTTGTGATAAATGACAAGTACCGGAAAAACAAGAAGTCAAACTTTGTGGGGATGTATTATTCTTCATTTCCAACTATGTGGCCTGGCCTTTTTTTTTTTTAGTTAGCTGTGTAGAAAGAATACGTGATTATTTTCGTACGAATACGTGAATGGACTGATTTATGCAAGTTTAAGTCGGTAAAAGAAGAAAAACAAAAGGAGAAACAGGAAAAAGAAAATGCCTATCCAATATTTGAGTTGTCAAGGCAAAGGCGGCAGAGACAAGATTTCAAGTTTATGAGTTCGAGATTCTAATCGTTTTAAGTTATTGGGTTCTAAATTAATAATTTATACATATTCAATAGATTGTTTAAGACAAATACATGGTTCAAACCAAAGCTACTGGATTCGGCTGAACCCACTCCGGATACTCTAGCTCCACCCTTGTATCAACGTACCCTATTACTTACGTTACAGAGCCTAGCAATGTTCATTGTTTGGTGGTTGGTTTAAATAGCTAGGAAATTGTAATGTGACTTTCCTTTCCCTTAAGACAAAAATTCCATTTTAGAAAAGGACCTTCACTTGATGTTTAGCATTATTATTTCCTAATTTTAGTACATGCATTTCTACAAGTCTTCTATCCTATTATATGTGCTAAAACAACCTTCCCAAGATGGTTAAGGTATGGAGTTAATTATCTCAAGAGATGATTTCAACTTTAGTGCTTTGGCCATTCTTATCATAATCAGATGCTTCTTAGTTTGTTCACATTTAATGGACTTAAGCCTTCTTTATTGCATATGAAACAAAGGCTTAGATGGCCAAATAGGTATACCAATTCCTCTTCAGCCTCTTATGTCTTCACGTCAATATTTGTTGATTGTTTGTTATCATCAAAGCATAAAGATTAGTGACACTCGAGTCCTATGTTTTCTCTTTTCCATTATTTTTTTCGGACCAAGATTCAGGGCACTTGTTGCTGTAAAATCACGTTTAATATCACCGTTTAATGAGTTTGTAGTAGAATTTTGAAGTCTTTTTAAGACAAATGGATTGTTATAACTTTATTCCTTTATTAATGCATACACACTGAAAATGATGAGTTGCATTTTGATTGGAAAAAGAGTCGATAATCACAATGAAAGGATTTTGGACCTTAGATAGGTTCTCCCCTAGTTAAATCTTACGCCCCTTTGACCATAATGTTTTTTTTCTTTTTTCAAATTTTTTTACTTTTTCCCGAAATCAATGTTTAGCCATAAAATTTTCGATTTTCACTTGAAAATGAATTTCGAACTTTTTTGAAAATTAGAAACTCCACAAAGTTATTTTTCAAAATTTTCGTTTCAGATCACTCATAAAAATTCAAAAACAGCCCAAAATTATATTCATGTCCAAACATAACTCTAATTTTCAAATATCATTTTCATTTTAAAAAATTCATTTATTTTTCGGAAATTTTACATTTCTTGTGTGCAAACGGCCACTTAGTGTCACAACTGACAGATCACTATGATATTTTTCCTTCTATAATAGGATTGTGTCTATATTGACTGTGACTCAGTCTTTCCTACTAAATTCTACGTTGACAGTGACAGGACTTTCGTAAGAAATGTCATACGTTAATATTGACGTCATTGACTGATGGAACTAAGTGATTGAAATCAAATTTGTTTACCCTTAAAAATGATAACAATTGAATTTGTACGCGAGTTTACGGATATGTGAATTAATTCAACAGAAGTGATTAATGACGTTAGACAAGCAAATAAAAATTAGAATAAACAACCAAACCAGTGATGAGACTGAATTCGGACTCGGTTAAAGGCTTAACGAGAAGCTCGCCTTCGATTCCGAACCAATGCTTATGAAGAACTTATGAACCAAAACAAGAACTTTGACAATCCTTTAGAAACAGAGAAAGATAGATGTATATTGCCTTGGTATGCGTGTTACAGAGAGTGTATTGAATAATAAGCATCCTCTTTATATAGTAGGGGAGTTTTACTCTAAGTACAATCCTAAGAAAGGTAAAAATCTTCCTTTTCGCTAATCACTGATATGTCGCTGATACGGGCCGAGATCCCACGGATATCACGGCCCTTTGTTAATCGTGTGAGGTCGTTTGGTAACGCTTTCCGTGGTCTCGTCATTCGAATTAGGTTCGAAGCACAGTCTCGATGGCTCCAGGGGAAGGTGTTTTATCCGGACTTTGATACGGCGGCTCCCCGCTTCGATTTAGATTCCACGTTGTTATGCCCTCACTTCGTTCGCCCCACCGGGAAATCGGGGTGTTCATTACCCCTGGTTTTACCCGTATACAGATAGTCCCCTCGTTTCTCAGAGAGCAGGTTTGCCAAAACGATGAGATACGACAGATGTTCTCCGGTTCCTTCTCCTGTACGTTATAACAAAAACGCCGAAGAAGCCGAAACGTCCCGTCAGTCACATCGTTCTGACTTCGGACACGTGTCAACCATCGACTGGTTGCCTCCGAATGCAAAGCGCCACGAACTTTTTCTATAAAAGCTTCTGTAGCTTTTTCTTTTCCCACTTTCCGGCCTAGCTCCTACCTTCGAACTTTCAAGTTATTATCAACTTTCTCCAAACCTTCATATCTTCATCCTTGTACTTCAACTTTCATAGTGATTTTCAGGTTTTTACCCAGATTTCCTTCAAATCTTCACACTCTGTTTTTCATCCTTTAAACTCGTTCTTTCAAACCTTCGTATTCTTTCTTTAAATTTTCAAACTTCTTTAGATAACAATGGCTAAAATATCCAAATTTGTTCATCAACAAGTTGCCTCTACATCTTCCCAACTGGCTGTCGGTACTGAGCCGGTTGCTCCTGAAGTAGTTTCTCTCGAAACGGCTTCTCCCGAGGCGGTTGCCAACGAACTGGCCCCCGACCCTCCCTTAAAAATGTTTATTCCCGGGAGCTGCTCAATTGTAGATGACTTTAAGGTCGATAAACCCTCACGCAAACAGGAACGGGCTAAAGGAGAATCAAGGTACATATGCTCCGTGTTCGAAGACGTCCTTCCCGTGTTCCGAAATGACTGCAATTGGGAAGGCAAGAATGTAGTAATCCCCGGGCCCGAGGACACCATTACTACCCACGTGGAGGGGTACTTAAGTGTTTACACTTACCCCTTCACACTGGGCCTGGTGGACCCGATTGTTCTAGATTTTTGCAAGATGTATGAGGTGTGCCTTGGGCAAATCTATCTATCTCTATGGAGGATCGTGATCCTCCTTCGTTACTTTGTGAACAAAACCGAGTCTCGTCAGTTCACCATCGATCATCTACTCCGTTTATAAAGTCCCCAAATTTTCAGATGAGGACTAATCAAGATCACTCGTCGGGCCAGCAAGGCCCCTTTTTCGAGCATTGATGAAGATCGAGATGGGGGCTGGCAGGGACGCTTCGTTCGGGTGAAGACCGAAGATTTGATTCCCCTCGAGTTCATGCCATTTCCTGAGAAGTGGAACGCATCTCGTAAGTGCAGTCTCTCCTTAAGCGTCAATATTTTCTTCATTTTCTTTCTACTCATTCATACCTGTGGTTGTGTAGCTGTCGCCCAGGTTCTAAATGCGGTCCCCCGGCTAAAGGAATGGATCGAGGGCATCTGTAAACAGATGACGTACTCCGAGCAATCTTGGAAAAAGCTTTCGAAGGGCTGATAGGAGACTCGTTCTCATGGTAAGGTCTCTCTCTAAATAGTTAATATTATGATTCTAACTTTTATCATACTGACTTCCCTTCCCCTTGGCTTTAGTAGGTTTACCTAAGACCATCAAACTTAGACCTTTGGAAGGGGATGAGGACGTGTCCTTGTCCATTAATCCCTCCGTTACGGGACTACCCGGGACTGCCGTGGAAGAAAAGAAGAAGAAGAAAAGAAAGGCTTCGGGCTCCCCGAGATCCGTGGTGAAGCCAAAAAAAAGAGTAGCTCGTAAGCCCAAGAAGAGCTCCAGTTCTCGGGTGCTAGATTCCGATTTGCTTCTTCAGCTCAGGGACGAGCCCGAGGAAGATGACATTTTTATTTCCCATGGATCGACCCCTCCTGGGGAGAAGGCGGCATCCAAGGGGGAGGTTCGTGAGGCCGACCTCTCTCAGATATGGGAGGTCGACGTGGAGATAGGGGTTAAGACCCCCTGGGATGTCGGCTCTGCTTCGACGGAAGCGTCCAGTATAATAGAGATTGCGGGAATGCCCTCCTACACCGAGTCCATGCTCGAGGAGGCTCAAGCGAGAAAGGGCAAGTCCAATTAATGGGTCCATGGCGCGGACGATCCCCTTCATTCCTCTTTTGATGGTGTGGACTCGTCCGCTTTCGAGGATTTTTCGGGGTTGGGCGACCTGGAAGTTCCGAAGAAGGGCATACCCTTGGAAGTTGGCGGGCTGAGTTCGAGCCCGAAATTGATCAATCAGTTCCCTGCTCTAAGTGTGGACCTCGATCCCAAGATATCGATTATTCTTACCGTCCTAGAGGATGTCCGGGTTCTGTCTGATCCCGTGGGGATAGACAGCTACCTATGATGCCTGGTGACCGAGAAGGACCTGACAAAAATGAATGAGGTGAACGTGTTGTGCCTTTTCAATGAGGCGCAACAGGCGCTGAACAGGGTAAGGTATCATTACGTCCCTTTGAACTTTACTTAGGTTTAAATATTTCTCACATTTTTCACCTTTTTACAGGCCTCGATACTTCATCATGAGAGCTTTCTCCGGTATCGAGTCGAGGTCAATCAGCTCGAGGTTGAGGTCAAGGAGGAGGCCCAAAAAAGGGATATGTACAAGCTCCTCAGCGAGCAACAAGAAGGGGCCATCAAGGACCTTCAGGCCGAGCTGGACAGGGCTCAAAAAGAAGCTTTGACCTTGAGGTGGGAGCATGCCGATTTGGTCGTAAAGGTAAAGGACTTTGAAGTTAGAAATGAGAAACTAGTCATGGAAACTAATGACCAAACCTCGCAGATCCAGCAGAAGATCGATCTGATCGCCCAACTCCGAGT